CAAGTGTGTGCTCCTTTGCTTTACGCAAAGCTGCTGAAGATGGCAAAGATGAACATGACAGCGTGACTGTAGAAACTGTGCATAATAATTTCTACGTAGACGATTGTCTTAAGAGTGTGCCAACCGTCGAAGAAGCAATCGTTCTTATGCAAGAACTGACGTCTCTTCTGGCAAAGAAAGGATTTAAGCTAACTAAATGGATCTCCAACGAAAGAGAGGTTATCTCCCAGGTTCCCGTCCATGAAAGAGCAAAGTCTGTGGATCTCGACCTAGAAGGTTTGCCTACAGAAAGAGTTCTCGGTGTTAAATGGAATGTAGAAAGTGACACACTGGGATTCCACCCAGGGAAAGAAACAACGGAAACAAGACGTGGAATTCTGTCTTTTGTTGCCCCAATCTACGACCCGCTAGGTCTGGCCGCGCCATTCCTATTGCCTGCAAAGATAGTGCTGCAAGATCTTTGTCGTCTCAAGCAAGACTGGGACTCATCTCTTCCCAACGAAACAGCCGAGAAATGGAGAGATATGAAAGAAAATGTTAGTTTCCTTATTAACGTAGAAGTCCCCAGATGCTACAAGCCACGAGACKTCAATGAACTACAAGCAGTAGAGATCCATCATTTCTCCGACGCATCAACTGAAGGATATGGAACAGCGTCTTACCTACGAGTGGTCGACAAAGAMGATAGAGTACATTGTTCACTGTTGCTCGGAAAATCAAGAGTCGCCCCACTGAAAACTGTTACTGTACCGCGGTTAGAACTTATGGCAGCTACTGTAGCCGCAAAAGTCGACGAGATGTTAAGACAAGAACTACGTCTGCCTCTACTTTGCCGTGTTATCTTTTGATCTGACTCAATTGTAGTTCTAAGGTACATTTTGAACAGAACCAAACGTTTCAACACCTTTGTGGCAAACAGACTACAAGTGATTCATGATGTTTCTCAGCCCTACCAATGGCGATATGTTCCTTCCTAGCCTCGAGAGGCATTAAGAAAAATAGTTCACGAATGTCAAGAGAAGAAGCGTTTAAGTTTTGGCTGAAAGGCCCAGAATTCCTTTGGCAGTCAGAAAATGATTGGCCGACTAATCCCGATGAGCAGTTAGAAGTATCAGCTGATGATGCAGAAGTAAAGGGATCACTTAAACAAGCTACTGTTCATGTACACACAACCTCAAGTCTAGAATCGAAGCATTCAACCTTAGATGATTTGATTCGCCGTTGTTCTTCTTGGTACCATTTGTGTAAGTTGGTGGCGTGGCTCACGCGTTTCAAGAAGTATGTGAATCGTCGATACGGAAAGTCGAGAGACAATGTATCTAAAGAACCTTTGACGGTGCAGGAAGTAGCTCAAGCAGAAGTTGACATTGTAAAGTTAGTGCAGCGTGATGTCTTCGATGCAGATAAACGAAGCGGGCTGAAAAACCTTTGTCTCTTTATTGAAAATGGCATCCTACGTGTCGGAAGCCGATTAGAAAGGGCTAAGATGGACAGTACCGCAAAGTACCCTGCTATCTTGCCGTCTCGACACCATATCACGGATCTAATTGTCAGGGATTCACACGAAAGAAACGGCCACATGGGAGCCAGCCAGACTCTGGCAACAACCCGTCAGAAGTACTGGATTATCAAAGGTCTTTCAACTGTCCGACGTATTCTGTAGTCTGTGTACATCCGTTTCTCACCCCTCAAAAAATCGGGGAGAGAACGTCTGTGATTTGCCGTTGCTAATCGTGTTCTGACATAAATTTGCATATATAATGTGACATGCACGTTAGAGATTGAGCAGGCACGTTAAAAGGTCAAGTAAACAATGGACCGTTCCGCAACTCGAACATAATGCCAAGAGATTTTTTTTT